AGCATGCTTACCCTAGATTGCACCCCCTTGCTCTTCCTGAATAAATTCTTACTTTTAGAGAGTCAGTCTCTCTGCCATTTATTTTAGGTTTACTGTTCAATGTATGAAAATGGTTCCAGAACTGTCTTGATTTTTCTAGCTATTATTCTTTAATTTATGTTTCCCAACTCAGCTGGTATAGTTTAATTTTCATAAGTTAGTATGCATGAGACACTGCACAGACATATCTAGTTCACGAGAGCCTGCTTGGACTATTGTCACACACCTTCTCCCCACCACCAACCCACTGCTCCAGTTCTGCTCCCCTGACTGTCCCATTCACAGTCCAAGGCCACTCCATGGTACCCTGTCTTCATTTGAACTTTAACTTGCATTTGCCAGTCTCATGTCTGAGCTGCTATTTCATCCAGCCTTCCATGTAGATGATTTGCTGAATTCTAAATGCCAATCTGGGTACCAAACACAGAGCTCAACCAAATCACCAGTTCCCCATCCCATCCACCACATCATTTTCCTCCATTAAGGTGCTCATATCTGATAAGGAGGATTCTGTTTTATTTGCTCTAGCTGTGTTTTTCTTGCTGTGCCTGACTCTCACAGTGGGAATGAAACGGTGTCCTTACCACAGCAGTGACAAGGCTAACACTGAGGTTGCTAATTGAAGATGGGGATAAGATTAGCAGAAGGAGGCAATGACTGAGCAAAATACACAAAAGACTCACCAGTGATGGAATAAATGGCAGTAAGAGCCAAGAGGATGAAAATTGCCAGGTAAAGGTCCAATCCCAAGGCCACCTTGATGAATATGGCTCCAGAAAACATGTCTGCCTAAAAAGGGAATAGTCCAGGTGGGAAAAATAATGGATTTAAGGCTGCTGGTTTCTCTTTCCCAGCGTCCACGCTCCCCTCTCCTCCCACCCGTTCTTTTCCTGGTAGACTTGTACTTGTCCTTTAAGACACCACTTGGATGTAGCCTACCACATTGTCTTACATAAAGCCTCAACAGTGATTTTCATTCTCTCTTCTATATCCTATGGGCAATAAAATACCCTATAAAGATGGATTGTAATTGAAGGTGTTAGCATGAACTCATAATTTCTAAAATATGTGTACGTAGGTGTATAGTTGCACCAGAATGTATATGTATGGATGTGTGTGTGTGTGTGT